TAGGCCTGCCGGGAGCGGGGGCTGCACCGCCTACAGCTCCCGGCGTGCAGCGCGGCGCGGGCCCGGCCGCTAGAACGGCACCGCTCACCCCACAAGTCCGCAGCCAATCACAGGCCGCGTGCCCCTCCTCCAGCGCTCGCTCTCTCTTGCGTCATTCCTTCCTGCCCCCGCTCCCTTCCTGCTCCGGCGCGCGGGGCGGGGCCAGGAGCGGGGGAGGGGGAGGGCGGAGAAAGTGCCACCTCCCGGAAGAGGTGGGAGGAGATGTCTGCCCTGCCCCGCCCCGCCTTCCTCAGGCTGAGCATGTGCACTGCGCCTCGACTCGTGCTGGGGCGGGGCGGCGCGTTGTGCCGGGCGCCAGGGCGCGCGTTGCCGCGTGCGGGAGGCGTCGTATTTGTACCGTAATTTCGCCTTTCGTACGATGTACGATTCTTGAGGCGGTTAATTCATGCAGTGTATACAAAACCCGAGCCCCCATTTATTTGAATGTGCTTGGCTTCATCTTCCAGGCATAAATTCATAGTGTATTTTTCTCTGCTAAAGTAGAGACCCCTTTACGAAGTACTATTTTTTCTGTCTCTGAAAGTAATAATACACTGTAATCAAGTCACGTAATCTTCTTTTGATAAACTATACTGCTCTATTGAACTCTCACTACAAAGCAAGTTTCCAAGCTTTCTGGCTGTGCCCCCACCAGTTTTTGTGTCGCTGAACTGACGCAACTGAATTTCTGAGGGGCCTGATTTTGGGAACCGCTGATATAAGGCATTTTTCCCAGACCTCTAATAATATGGGGGGCTATTTTCTGTAGCTTCTCAAATTTGTCACCTTCCTTTAAAAAATGTGGACCCCAGAACTGCATGCGGCATGTCTCCTCGACACTATACAGGGGCAAAATTATCCCCATATTCCTACTCACTGCTCCTGCTGAGGCTGAAATTGGTTCCTTATTCCCAGTTCCTTATTCCTTGTTCCCAGTTCCTTTTTCAAAGCTAATCTAGACCCAATAAAAACTTGTTATCAATGAATTGCACATCCTAAAGAGACAAAATGTTGTTAGCTATGCATATGTAGTAATTAATATGTAAAATAATATCTCACATCAAGTACAGAGCCCTAAACAAAGGTAAGATTAGGATGGGATTATGAGGCAAAATACTTCTTGGGCCACTCCAAATTTCATGGCAATGCCACTGGAGAACTGTCCCAAAGAACCCTGACCACAGTATCACCCAGCCCAAAGCACGGTTTGGCTGTGCCAGGCTGCCAACTAACAGCCCCCATGCCCACTATGTCTTGAATAAGGAACTGGCTTTCGTGCTGGGATTATGGCTAGAAATTCTGTTTGGGCCACCCTAGCCCACGTCCCTGTGCCACCGGGGGACACTTCTGCAAATCTCTGACCAGAGATTTGCCTGGCCCAAAACACGGTTTGGCCGTGCCAGGAGGCCAACATAGCACCCAAGCCACTGTGCTAGACATATGGAACCGAATAAAGAACAGGATTATGGGCTAGGATTATACCCAGCAATGCTCCTTGGTCCACCCCAGACCACACTTCTGTGGTACTGAGGGACTCTTCTGGACATCTCTGAATAGAGACCTGCCAGGCCCAAAGTGTGGTTTGGCCCAAGAAGGATTTCTCAGTATAATCCCAGCCCAAATTCCAGTTCCTTATTCGGTTCCATGTACTTAGTGTAGCAGAAAGCCCCCTTTTCCTCTTGCCTGCCTTTGCTCTCCCCTCTTTGGATATGTTTCTCTTTTTCTACCTTTTCTTCCTTCCTCTCTCTTTCATTTTAAGATAAGGAATTGTGTTTTAAAATTTGTGTGCGTGCATTTTGTATCTCCCCTTGTAGTTTGGTATTTTTATCTATTTGTGTGCCATGGCATTTATAGCTTATATTTTATACTCCTCACCTTTCATCTTTCAACTGAACGTATTTAGTTTCATAAGTAAGTTATACATTGTAACAATGTTAACAAGGGCAGGAATCAAACTGTCCTTCCCTGTATCAGGCTGGCCCCTGAAAGAGTGAGTGAATCAGTGATTGAATGTGTAACATGGTAGCAGACAGCAATTAACACCTGGGAAGCTGCATATCAACCAAGGGAAGAACTCAATAGAAGACAATGTAGCAACTGGGAAATCTCTAAACGTCACTGATCAAAGGCTAGAAGCCCTGGCCTGAGTTAATCAACACCAGGGACCAACTTTTGGGCTATCTCCAGATCAACCGCTCCCAGAGCCCTATTCAAAATTCATCAACGGACTCCCAAACCTGCACGTACATGTGGACGACCCCTGGGGCTGACAGATGCCATCCAGTAGCCACCGAGGAGGGGGAAGTCTCACGAGGGTCAATGACTCCTGGATTGGGCAAACCTGAAAACTGGGGAGTCACCAAAGTCTGCCAAGGACAGATAAAAGGCAGTGAAAAGTGACCCTCAGTGGCGCCCTCTTGATCTCCAACTTGACCAGCACCCGACCTGTC